CCGATGGTACAACCCAAGATTTCAACTTCAACTCCTCCACAAGAAATTTTGACGAGAACAACACGATTTGTCTCCATGGATTGGACCGTACCAGTGGTGGATTCAGTACTTTCGACTGTATCAGTAGTTGATTCGGTATTGACGTCAATCATACCCACTACAACGATGATTATGCCAACTACAACGAAGAAGGTAGGAAATGCTTCAGCAACAGAAGAAGCTACAATCTTCACTACAACTCCTACAACCGTTCCCGCATCCATACAACTACTTGATACGGAAACTATATCTCCACGAAATCTTGCGGTGCGACGTCAATTCAATAACATCTGTGTTAGACAATTCTTAGGAGCACAACGCATACGTACCTTGAGCTCCGTCGACGTCGACCCGACATGGGCCGCTAGAATATTACTAGGAAGGACTGACATCATGGCCGTTCGGACTGCTGAAAGCTTGCTAATCACGAAATGTCGCCAAGTAACGCCTACATTTGTTTACGAAAATCACACGGTTGATGGAACATGTTATACGTTAACACCGGTCAAGGTCAACGACGAGCTTTGGTTTCATATACTTGGAACGCAGGATTTGATTCGGACATCAAGTACCATCCCATGCCCTTATCTATTACCAAAGCGCTCCAATATGACGCAGAAACTGGTACTACCGAACAGTATTATCAATGACAACTCGAAGCCTTTCCTTTTCGAAGCTCCACTTACCTTCTATCGATTACTTGATAGTTACGCCCCATCAATCATCCCACAGATGGAAGCGATGAAACAAGAACAAGTGGAGATGGCTCTACGACTTCAGAAAAGAGGAATTATAGAGGAAGCAGTTTCGCGCATACGGAACACCAGTGCGTCCCTGGGTCAGTCTTTAATGTCTCTTTATGAGAAAACAACATAAAAGCTTTCGGCTGGAGTAGAAGATATTAAATGGTCAGTTCTATATACTGTACTCTGGATTGCAGTACCCCTCGTCATTATCCTGCTCTGCGTTGCTGCCTGCGTAATCTACGTGAAGCTCTTCTTTATCAGGCGTGCAACATCAACGGCTGCATCAGCTATGTTCGACATTGCCAGGAATTTCACCCCAAAAGGGAGAAATCAAAGACGCGCACGTGCGATAAACATGTTGATGACGGACATGTCACAAAACGTAGTTGAGGAAGAACCACTTTTCGTGCCAAGGATCTACGCAGTCGGGATAAATTGCAACATCTACCGTACTTAGAGGTCAGGATCGGAGAAAGCAGTGTGACGGCTTTACTCGACAGTGGAGCGACTATTTCGTATATGAGGATGTCAACCCTCTCGTTAATCCGAGATAGAGGACCACTTGAAGGAGAACCAAAAATGGCAACAACGGCGAATGGTACGACGATACAACTTCTGGGTTCGATCCGTCTTCCAGTACAAATAGGAACACATGTGATACATCATCGCTTCTACGTAGCAGAAGAGAAGGATTGCCCTGTCCCTCTTTTGTTAGGATCCGACTTTATCCGAGCACTGAACGAGGATGGTCTCCTAGTATCACTCGACCTTCTAAAACGATACGAATAGGACCGGAGACGATAGATCTGGTTTCAGTCAACTACATCACGTTAGCAATAACACCATTATATGATGTACGGCTTACTAACAAAGTATCGTTACCCAGACGAACGAATAACATGGTGGAAGCATGCATCGAGGGACTTACTTAGCCAAGGTGTAGAGATTTCCTCATTGAAGATAATCTTAGGCCAATGAATGAAATATTCATTATCGGTCGAGCACTCGTTACTCCTAATTTGGATGGAACCTGTTACATCAATATTCTCAATCCATCCATGTCTCATGTTACACTTCCTGAGAAGCTCAAAATAGCAGTAGCACATCCTGCCTGTGCATCGGAAGTATGGGTGCAGCAATTACAGGTCCCACAAATTAGTCCTTCGAAGAACATCCTTTGCCCTTCAATTACCTATATCAACGATCACTCAGAGGATGCAGGTAACAACAACGATTTCCGAGTGCCACCAGAGGCGGACTGGGAAACTCGTCTGCCCGAATTTCCAGTCCCACCGCCTGAAGATTATGACATCGCTAGGGAAATCGATTTGTCACGTTCCAACTTAACGGAAAGTTAGAAGAATCAATTACGAGACATCATTAGATATCACGCAAATGCCTTCGTTGGACCAGACAGACACCTTGGACATTATAGAGGGAATATACGTCATCGGATTGATCTCACTGAAAATGCGACGATACCAGCTAGGAAGATCTATAGGGTACCTTTGGAGAAGCGACAGGAGATTGAGAAACAAATAACGCAAATGTTGAAAGACAGAATTATCAGAGAATCAACGTCTCCATTTTGTGCACCTATTGTATTAGTGAAGAAACGTGAAGCAAACACCTGGCGCTTCACAATCGATTTCCGCGGACTTTATGCTATAACGAAACCTCAACAATCGATTCTCCCAAATATTCAAGACATCATCGACCTCTGCGCTAATCAGTGTCTTTATTCCTCTCTTGACTTCCAACAAGGTTTTCACCAGATTCCATTGAAAGAGGAACACTGTGAAAGAACAGCATTTGCATGTTTTCTTGGAGCCTTCGAGTATATACGAATGCCTATGGGATTGAAAGGAGCCCCTGCCACCTTTCAAAGGATAATGGATGATTTCAAAAAGTATTTGAGAGCAAGAGTCTTCATATACATTGACGACCTTATTATCACGTCAGCTAGTCCGCAAGAACACTTGGAAGACATCGACGAAGTTCTAGGGAAGATAGAAATTATAGGAATGAAGCTGAAGGCGTCAAAGTGTGAATTTGCAAAAGAAGAAATAAAGTTTTTAGGATTCATCCTAGGTAAAGAAGGCATACGACCCAACCCCGAGAAGACGAAAGCAATTGATCAATATCCACAACCTACGAATGCAACGGAGGTCAAATCATTTTTGGGAATGTGCTCATTTTTACGGAGATTTAACCATAATTTTGTTGCTATAGCTGCTCCGCTTACTGCACTAACAAAGAAGAACGCATCTTTTGATTGGACACCTCAGTGCAATGAAGCCATGGATCATCTAAAGAAAGCGTTAACAACGGCACCTATCCTTGCAGCACCACGGCTAGGTAAACCTTTTACCATCGAGACTGATAGCTCAGCGAAAGGAGTCGCCGGCATTCTGAAGCAAGAACAGGACGGACTAGAACGTGTTATCGCTTACGCGAGTCGTACTCTGAATAAGCATGAAGCAAGATATCCGGCAATAGAACTTGAAGCATTAGGCCTGGTCTATGCAGTTCAAAAGTTTCGCCCATATATAGATGGAGCTAAATGCACGGTCATCACCGACCATGCACCCCTCAAGGCAATTCTTCAACGTAAAGATCTTACGACTGGCAAAATATCAAATTGTGTTACAGGAGTTTGATATTGATATCATCTACCGCCCGGGAAAGAAGAACACAGTATGTGATGCACTATCTCGACACCTACCGCATGCCGCAAATGCCATTACCCACATCACAAGGGACAATCTTCAAATGGACGCAATACGCAGGGAACAAGATGAGTGCGTATGGATTGCAACGATAAAGACCGCCCTGGCAAATAACGAGAACTCTGCGAAATTATGTAACTACATGCTTATAAACGATATCCTTTACAGAGTACCCAATCGTTTACACCAGGATCCCCAAGTGATATTGCCAGAAACATCCCAGATCAAAAATGATATTATCGCCTTGGCTCATCAATCTCAACTTGCGGCAGCACACTTAGGAATTAACAAAACCCAGGCTGCCGTTGAGAAAATCGCTATATGGATTCATATGCGCAGGGACATCGCAAACTTCGTTAGCTCTTGCAAGTCATGCCAAGCAAGGAAGGATCCAAGCGCGTATAGATAAGAGAACCGCTGCGCGCATTTGAGTTATCTACAAAACCATGGCAGCGAGTGCACTCGGATGTAATTGGCCCCTTACCCCTTACTTTGGATGGCAATAAATACATCATCGTCTTTATAGACTCCTTTTCAAAGTATGTTGTTGTCCAATACCCGATCAAAAAGCTGATACTACGTCACGCATTTTTACTACTCGTTTCGTGGCTAGATTTGGACTACCAGAAGTATTAGTAACAGACCAAGGATCCAATTTTATGAGCGAAACGTTTCGTACCCTTTTACGAAATTTACGCATCAATCATCGCACGAGCACCCCATATCATCATCAATCTAATGGACAAGTGGAGAGGACTAATCGCACATTAGAGGAACAGATTGCTATTGCTACTCGTGAACACAGTGACGAATGGGATTACGTTCTTCACTTCGTAGTACATGCCTATAACTGTGCAGAAAACACTTCAACCAAATATTCACCCTTCTTTCTTATTCATGGTCACAACCCTACTAATATTTTTCAGTTGGCATTTCAGCTACCAACAAAGAATTCGCGGTCACGGAGGGTTATGTGAATCATCTTATCCAAATTTTGAAGGATACGTACCAGCATGTTTACTCCAATCTTACGAAAGCGCAGGACCAACAAAAGCGCCATTATGACTTAAGAACAAGGACTTCTAAAGTGGATTATCAGATTGGAAAGAAAGTTTGGATAAGAAGAGACGGCGTTCATGAACTTGCAGCGCGATTCGAAGGACCATTCCCCATTATTGACATTAATTTACCTAATATCACAATTCAGGATGGCAAGCGCGAAAGGATTATTCACGTCGATCGCACAAAATTGCACAAGGAAACTACGTCATGAAAACAAGAGAAGAGAAGAGAGAACAAAAAAAAATTTTTTTCCCCAACAACTATAATAATTATGTTTTGATTATATGTCAAAAGATTGTATGATTTATTTTTATTAACCGATCGTATTAATAGCATTGTCATTGTAGGGAAAGTAGAGCACCTTTTGAGCAAAGAACCGTACTATTATTGTAAAGAATAGCACCTTATGTGAGAAGAGAGCAAATCAATCTAGAGGAATCTCTTCCATGGGTTCCTCAAAATGCAATGGCACTTCCAGAGCAGGCGATTCCAGCGGAATGTGACTCCTCAATTCAGGGGTCTTTGAACGATGACGTCGTCGACACGCAATTAATCTCATCATCAGGCAAAAACACCCCACGACGACGATAACTACAAAAGGCCAGTGTACTTTTATAATTGCAGCAACGCCACAAGTATGACTCACCACCGGTAATGATAAGGATCCAGAAATCTTGTCGAGTGTCCAGTACAGATAGCGTAGATGTGGGTACAACCCCCTCGCAGTCATCTTCTTCGTCATCGCATAAGCAAGTAAAACCAAAATCCGATTTGATGCAGAGTCCACGATTAGAACAGCTGTTCACGCAAAAGGAGCGGTCCACCACGGTCATCTATAAGAAAAAAAATGGTTGCGCAACGACATTTTATGCGGTCATTGGACAATTGAGGAGGCAAATGGTAATTTATGATTTTAGAAGAAATCGCGTCAAGGAACCCGGCCCGCGCAACCATTCCAGTTGCCTCGAGACGCGAGCCGCAAGGATATTTCAGTGATTATAGATGAGGATCACAATATTATAATCAAGCGTATGCAAAAGAAGATGTGGACTTTAATCGAAACGTACCAAATGATGCATCATCGTCCATGAGCCGCGCGGCGAAAACAAAGAAACTACGAGCTATGCAAAAGAAGTCAACATTTGGCAGGCAGAAGAAGTCAACATTCGGAGATAGCGACATTTCGACGATTTTCTGAAAAGAACATTATAATGGAAAGAGGAAGTAATACCTTCGGAGTCATAAGGCGAGGATGAAGGTTACGGGACGCAACCTTTCGTTACCCCGTGGAAATAGAATAGGTTCCAGAAACAAGGATTACACGAACAACGACAATCATGATGGTACGATGCGGAGCTGCAATTACAGAACTGGCTATGGCATGATCGTAATGACTTTCCAAGCGTACTCCGGGAAGAACGCCCGAACTAGAAACTTCGCAACGATTGAACGGAGAGATTGTGTAACTTTTTAGAGTTATGTGTAGCGATTCACTAGTACGAACGACGTATAATTGTATAATTGTATAATATAATATAATTGTTGGTACTCCCACTGTGGGATATAGTTAATTGTATAATATAATTGTTGGTACTCCCACTGTGGGATATAGTTAATTGTATAATATAATTGTTGGTACTCCTACTGTAGGATATAGTATATATACTCCCAAGGTTATTGTAAGGGTCGATTCGTCATGACTAAGTTTTAGCCTTTCTCTCTTTTATAAAGCATCCGTTTATGAATTCTCGTTCTCTCATGTTCTCTTCTCATCCTATTGTGGCTATGCATTTTATTTAGATCCTGTTCATTGAGGTCAAGTTTTGCATTTCATATAGAATTTCTCTTGTCATAGCTGAATGCTGATTTAGGGCCCGAGGGACTTCCTTTCGTTGGCCTAATAAATTGTTGTTGGGAAAGAGTTGTTAAGGTTGGCCGATTGAGATAATTTTGAATTATAATAGTTAAAAGAATAGTTTTGATGAATTCTTTCCGCTACCATGACTACGAGAACTAGGCCAAAACCTTACATTTCACCGTAAGTGCTTGTATGACGCTCGCATTGCGGATATTATGTTCGCTTCGCCCGCGGATATTATGTTCGCTTCGCCCAATGACTCCCACTGTATTGAATATGGTGCTTGGTTGTGTTTCAGCTGCCTAATTGGATATCAAGCTATTTCGTGGCTAGAGCTCAAACTGCCAAATCTCACACAATAAGATCCATTAAAGATGTGAATAGATTTGATCAGCGTGTTGCATAAGCCTCACGGTGGAATTTTGACGAGATATGCGATCTTTGCATTCTGAGCAAAACTCATGAGGACGTGTTTTTAGGCTCGTAGTTCGGCGATTTTCGCAGAAGGGAGCTTGAGTCGTGCACCATTCGACAGCACAGTTTCTTATAACTTTGACTCAAAGAAGCAAGCATAATAACTTTGACTCAACGAAGCAAGCAGGTAAGTTCTCTGACAGATACGCGAGAAGTGCGGGCAAAATTACGCACTTTTGTGATGCAGTTGTAGTCACCTCACCGTATCTCACCAAAAAGACCCTGTAGTCCTCAAAGACTACGATTTTCGTAAGGAGCGTGTTCGAAAACCTCTATAAGCGAAGTTTCCTTACAATTCAAGAGCATCAACATTTTGACCAAAATCCATCGAAGAGCTTCCGAGGCCTAAAACGAGAAAAATGAATTGAACCGAACATCTCACAAGGGAAGGATGGTTGGTCGAAGTGGCCTTTTGAGATGGCTTGTATACCATGATGTAGGGCATGAAACGCTGATTCCAAATCTGCCTTCCTTATCTGCGGCGCTTTTCTGGACGAGGAAATATAAGCATTTAAAGAAGTAAAAAATGAGTGTTTTTCTGGGATAAAAAGAGTGATAGAATTTTCCCAACGCTTGAAATGAGACAGCCGGAGTGCTAATATATTAGGTTCTTGCAAAAGTTTTGCCAGTATTTTTCAATCCATCGGCAATCACGCTAGAATGAAGACAAACAAACACTTCAAAATGTTTCCGGTGTATAATTTCTTCCTCTTTCCAGCAGCTAAACTCCCATCATGTTTCGTTGCGAGAGTGACGAGATATTTGCTGGAAATTACAACCACTTGTTTTTACCATGTCCAACTTTCGCTAATTTTCAAAATTTTTGTATGAGACTTTCGAATGAGCCTTAATGAGCAGCAGATAGGGCAAACCTTTTGCCAACAGAAGCAATTTTTTGTAGCCCTACAGCTTGTCTTTCAGAATTTCTGCGATTCATTTTTTGACATGACCAAAATTTACATTCAGCCTATTTTAACCTCGTAGAACATATAATGTTGAACATTTCAATCACCAATCGATGCAACTTTTTGTCCTCCTTCTAACACTCGTCTTCTATTGCCAAGACAGGCGAAATTTGTGGGAAAATCGCAGTATTTCTCAATTTCAGGAGTGCGCACAGACGTAGCCTATGTTTTCAAAACTTCGTAATTTGAAGCGAAAATCGCTCATTTACTTTGTAATGGTGGCCGTAGTAATAATCGAGTGTTAAAATCTCAGTATTCTGTAAGTTTCGCAGTGTTTGGTGCAATAACAGGTTATGGTCAATTATTCCATAACAAAAGACTTTTAGAAAATTATTTGGCAAAATTCTGAAAAAGCAGCTGAAAAAAAAGAAAAAAATTGCATAGGTTGGCAAAAGGTTTGCTCTATCTTGTGGTTATTAGGGCTCCTCCGAAAGTCTCGTACAAAAATTTTGGAAATTAGTGAAATTTGGACATGGTAAAAACAAGTGGTTGTAATTTCCAGCAAATACCTCGTCACTCTCGCAACGAAACACAATGGAAGTTTAGTCGCTGGAAAGAAGAAGAAATTATGCATCGGACATACTGTGGTGTTTGTTTATCTTCATTCTTGCGTGATTGCCGATGGATTGAAAAAACTGATAAAACTTTTGCACCGACCTAATATAATATAATACCTCAATTGAAAGTATTTATTTTATAGAGTGCTGGGAAGATTACCACTGATCCATTTAAGCCCTAGGAATAATGTTACTACTGTTTCTGTATTATTTGCACATTCAATTTTTTTCACCAATAAACGCTCATAACTTCTTGTGCAGGAATGCTCCGCAGATATGGAAGATAGATTTGGAATCAGCGTTTTATGCCCTCCAACTTGGTGTACAACTCATATTACAACAGCTGGTTCAACCCAAAATTCAGTGTGACTCTCAGGAACTGTGCAACGGCCGCAACACAACGACCTTCGCGATCATTTACAGTTCTTGCAATACGTATAATGTATCGCCGAAGTCATTTCTTACAGCGAGACCAAAAGCTCGAAGCTTTTTCTTGGAAAATCTTACAAGGGAAGGATGGTTGGTCAAAGTGGCTTTTGAGATGGGTCGTATACCATGTTAGGGCATTTAACGCTAAGTCCATATCTGTCTTCATTATCTGCGCTGCATTCCTTTAGAGGAGCAAAAAAATGAATGTTTTTTTTGAGAAAACAGCAAAAATTTTCCTAGGGCTTGGATGAGACAGCCGAAGTGCGGATACATCTCATCTAATAAGGAAAGGATACTGACCGTAGTTATTTGGAATGCGATATATACTATAAAATATAAGATGCACCTCAAAACGCTGATTCTACTTCCGTTCTCAATATCTGCGAAACCATCTTCTGAAGGAAGTTATAAACTTTTTTGTAAAAAATTTGCGTAATTTTGGATAGTTAAAATCAACATATTTGTTTTAAGTTACCGTTTGAAGCTTTTGAAGAGAATCTTTAGAGGATTGTTGTATTATACTTATCTAAATCACATTCAGCATTTGAAAAAAAAAGAAAATTTTTTATTTATGACATCGACCCTCCGCAGTAGCGCAATTTATTCATGGGAAAATAGTCATAACTCCATCCAGGTTATCATTTCGCATTGATGTTCCTTGACCGCCGACTGCCTTTACTTCAAAGTCATTTTTCTTTATTCGAAGTTAGCGAAAACATTCCAAAGTCGTACGTTCATCTTGCCCAACAGCGCTTAGCATGCTGCTGATAAGAACAAATGATGTTTTGGAACCATGAAATTTTCGATGAGCCACAGGTCGAAAGTTGGGTTTATCGAAAATTTCGTTTCAGAAATTGATTTGTTCTCATCAGCAGTATGCTTAGCACTATTGAGTAAGATAATTAGTACAACTTCCGAAAGTTTTTATCGAATTTGAAGAAAATAATGACTCTAAAGAAAAGACGGTCGTTCCCGGAGACCACCAGGGTATCATACAAAAAGCTGAAAAATGCGGCTCGCACATTTCCCTTCATTATGTTCATGAAGAATGGTAGGAATACTTACGGATGGGTAGACAATGTGAAACAGATATCTGGAACTTCAAAATATGTAGGTTCTTTCGAAGCCGCGATCCCCACCCCGGCGGGAATGTTAATGCATGCGGCCCTTAGATGAGATATATAAGCAGTCTTATTCAAGCAAAATTTTTGCAAATGTTTTTTCTTAGAAACATTCATTTTTTTGCTCCTTCAAAGTCTCATAACCCATGGTCCAGGAACGCTCCGCAGATAAAAAGGACAGATTTGGAATCAGCATTTAACGCCCTCCAACTATGTATGAAAATTATCGCAAAAGGCCACTTCGACTGACCATCCCTCCGTTAACAATAATGTCCTGCCGCATGAAACCTCTGTATCTTCCTTCCCTCGGTACCATGCCTTTTCTGCTTTTAGGAGCAGAAGTTCGATTTTCGCAATGTAGAGGCAGCCAAAGGGAATTTTGAGCAAGTTCTTATAGATTCAGCGCTGAAACCTAGGGAATCATATCAA